ACTTTGGTTCGAGTTTGATTGAAGAAATGAACCAACCAACCAGTTTGAGTAGACAAATCAACTCGGATTTAGGGTTTGATTGAAAAAAAAACTTCTTCCTCTTCATTTCTTCTCTCCTTCCTTATCTTCATTCTCTATCTAGGGTCATCTCTTCTAACACAACACTTTCCTAGGCGGCATATATCCACCAACAAATTTGGATCCAACATTCTCGATAATGCAGTGATCGTGGATATAAATGGAGCAAAATCTAGTTTATGAGAACACTTTATAAACATGATTTCATAAGAACGTTTTTCATGCACCAGATGAAAGAGTTGAAGGGGCATGTGAGTTTGGTAATCAAAGAGGCTTTCAAGCTAGTCCCAAGGAAGCCACTAACTCCTAATTATCATCTAACACTCTAGAAGTGGTGGTGCATAGAAGATGAGATCCAATCATAAGAAATCCAACAATTATTGTAAGAAGAACTTTTCATTCACTTCAATAGAGGGACAAGAGAATAGAATACATTACCCTGATAAACAAGAATTCAATTTTGGAAACTACAGAAGAGAGAGAAGACAAATGATTCATAGGAAGATATGCCAATTATAATAACTATTCTCCAAAGAAACGCACAAAAAAAAATTCAGGATTCTTATTTTGGAGTCTTATTGAGAAGGTCCAATCCCAATAATCATGAAGCATCTTTTGAATCTGTAGTTTTCCATATTTAATGACACAATCAAATGACTTTTGTTTTTTATAGCCCTTAAAGAGTTCATGCTTTATTTGTTTAACAACTTTCCTCTCAGGGTCATAAACTCATTTGTCAAATTTAAACTATTATTTATAACTCAATTTTCTAAAGCTTAAAGACCACAAAAGAGTTCATGGATACTCTTACAAATTTATTAGAAGCATGGAGATTCTTTGAGTTTCATTACTCATTTCTAGAAGGAAATGTTGGAGGTCTATGTTTTAGAACTCATAGCCATACAAACTTCACGATCTCAAGGCCTAAGAAAATGTACTTTTAGCCACTTCATAGGTTGTAGCACCCTAAATGCTAGCTAAATTATTAGAGCTAGCTAGCTAATAATAGAGCTAGCTAGCTAATAATATCACATATATGTACAAGAATATAATTTGTTGTTAAGCCCCTCCCACATATAGTACAAGGATTGCTAATTGGGTGCATAGTATGACATAACTTTAAGAAATGAGAACCTAGTCCCTCTGTTGAGCGATTTTATTCGATGGGAGGGCAAGCGGAGCACAACTCAAAATATCTTAGCCCGCTCATTCCATCAACATTTTCTCATTTCTTGTTTTTGTTTTCCTAGGAAGAGAAAATGTAGAGAGAGAAAGGAAGGGAAAAATATATTTCTAAAGACAAAAAGTTAGTTTTGGGGGTCATGAAGTCGGTTTAGCCCATCAGGCCGGTTGGGGAAATTGTCTGACACTAGGTAGACTACTGTTAACTTACTTTGGATTTCAATTTCGTTATTTTTTCATAAAGTTTTGGTATTTTATTTGCCGAAATTTCATACAATCTCAGATCTATGGAGATTTATAAACTTTTCACCCCATAACTTTTATATATTGTACATTAGACCGTGTTGGACATATCGATATAAAAATATTTATTTTTTGCTGGGTATTTTGGGTTGTACAATATTTTATCTATTTTTTTCATGTGTGTAAAACTTAATAAATTTGTTATCGAATAAGAAATAATTAAAATATTATTCGAGACATTTCATATAAGTGATTTTACAAAAAAATTATTTTTCGATATGTATAAATCTTTTCCCCACAAACTACATTATTACTTGTGTCTACTGATATGTATCACTCTCTACAACATGTTATGATATTTGACATGTCAAATTTTTAGCATTTATATTGTTTATCAAAATATATGCCAAAAAAGATAAAAAACGTGGGAGCATTTATATGCTTTATCAAAATATATGCCAAAAAAGATAAAAAAAATGAGGGAGTTGCAGGAGGTTGTGATTGGAAGGGTGTATATTATATGCAATTAAGTGGAGTTATAAGGACTTTTGCACCAATATAATTATCCATCTGTGGGTTTAATACATTTGAATAGATGTGAACAAGTACATGTATAAGTGGAAATGGAGTTATAAAGGGGCATAAAAGAAATATGAACAAGTGGAAAAATAATTGGAAATAGAGGTATAGGGAGGTGAAGAAAATTTTTTTAAATAATTTAAATAAAGATAAAAATTTTTATTTCCTTTTTTTTCCTGCACTTGTGATATCATGTTGCTTATATTATTACTTAACATATATTTACTGCAATATAATTTGTGGTACTAACAGTGTGAGAGATGCTACACACGATACTTTGACATGTTGGATTCATTTGCATCAAATCTAGGTTTTTTGTTTTTTTCATATATTGAAAAATCAATTGATTTTGGGTAGCCTACTAAATTTTGGTTGCTCGCCTCTGCTTTACTCACATGTGTTGTTTCAGGAAAAGGTAAAACTCAAGTTGAAAAGAGATTTTTGTGTTATTAGTGAGAGCCTGATTTTAGGAATGTAGGTATCTCAGATCTATCCTTTTGTTATATATTTATATGATCTGAATGAATTTTTGGTATTTTTTATTTTATAATATCTGTTTATTTTAATCGTTTTGTGTTTATGAAAATTGAAGAAAAATAAGTAATTAAAATTCCTTCTAAATAGATCGTGGGTGATAACTTATCTGTTATGATCTTGGCATGCCCCCCTCGAACTGACGGGTTGTATTGAGTTGGGTTATGACAAAAAGGAGGTTGTGAGATAATTTCTCTCAATTATCAATTACAACCCCATTAAGAGGTTTGATGGCTGAAGTTGTCAAAGTCATCCATAATAAGAAATGTTTCAAACAACCAGTCAATAAGAAATAAAAGTTATCTACATAATCCAAGAGAGTATTGCATGTAGCACAACCAGCACACCTTTATGTCGCTCAATGCATATTTATTTTAAAGTCATCAATAACCAAGTTAAATACAAAACCCTCATTTTAGATTTAAGATTCATCAAAGGTGTAAGTGTGAAGCACCCTAATATACATTCAAACTCATGACTTTTCATAAACTAAGTCATTGGAGAACAAAAAAATGCGAAGAAAACATTTAGCAATACCTCTCAAAGTGATATAAAAAACTATGAAATTTGAATACTTTAAGATACAACTTAACCCTCGAGGGACAAAAAAACTAGCAGACCTACTAACCAAATTAGGGGATCAAGATGGAAGACTAAATCTATAATTTCATTTATCTCAAGAAGAGCACAAAAAACCAAAGTACTCATATGACCACCCCCAAAAAGAAAGAAACCTGAAACAGCAACAAATTTAAAAATAGAAGACATTTAGTTCCAACAAAGTTGAACATGCTCACTTGTATTTGATCTGCTTCGTTTCCCTCAATCACTCGACCGTTCTGCAAGAACTAAAACTATTAGCAGCAATAAGGGCGGAAACAGACAGCCCAGTTTGATTGATGCGAGATAAATTGTTCTCAACCAGACAAACCAAATATACTTTTCATTTATAGAAATCTTTAGTGTTGAGGAAGCTACCGAATAGAGATTATGTTGGTAATCCTCCATATCTAATTGACTCTGAAGCCGTCGTGCGAGCTCCCTTCATCACCACTAACGTTTTGAATGCTGACCATCCCAATCGCATTTGACGAGCTCGCTTTCTTCCGTTCTCATTCATCGAGAGTGAAGACCTGCGCCTCCTCCTGCTTTCCCTTGAATCTGGATTTATGATCCCTGGGCTTTCTTCCTTCATGCATTGGCTGAATCATTTTCTGCAAGAGCTTTTGTGCAGCAGCTTGGTTCTGCACCGGCACAGCTCCAATGGCTTTTTGGTGCGGCAACAAAATATTTTAAAATAGAGTAAGGGTCCGTTTGGTGCAGTTTGTACGTTTTATGATAAACTGGTTATCCTGAAACGCGGCCCGCGGGTCGATCGTAGCGGCCCGTGTTTAGTGTAAAAACTCAAACGCAGTTTCGGATAAGTTGGTGAAACGCGCGAACCAAACAGTACGGCGGCATTTTGAAAACTCCGCCCGCACTTATAAGCTGCCCCAAACGGACCCATAGTCTCACCGCTTAATATTCTCTATGTAGAGGTGTGTATTCACTCTTTTAATATTTAAACATCATTAATATTTTAATGGTTCAATTAAAATTATAATTAATTCAAAGTCAAACGGTTTCACTTCATTTCCTAATTCAATCCTTAATTAGTCAGGATAATTCATTAATTGCCAATTTGTCTAGCCCACAAATTTACAAATTAATTATTCTGGGCATAATTACCTTGACTAAAATGTACTAATATTAATTAAAATTTAACTAATCCCCCAATATCTGAATTAAATAGTTAATTATTAGGTATTATTCCAGTTAATTAATTAATTATACTAAGCTGAATTGCAATGATTACACAATAAAAAGCTTAATGATCAAATTTAATACTCGAGTAAACTCTATCGCCATAAAAATTAGTTTAAATAATTATTTAATCAATTAACCAATCCATACTTAATTATCAAACTTAGGGCCTGTTTGGGGAAGCTGCAGCTAATTGAATAATCTGCTAATAAACTGATAAAAAATAATCTACAGATAAGTTAGGTTTGTGACTATTACAAATTTTTATTTTTTTTTAAAAAAACATCTAGATATGTGCGGTGTGAAAAAGCTATTTTATGAAAAGGCTATTTTAAACCTTTTGAAAATGCATAAACTATCACAACATTATTTACCCAAATAGATCAGATGTTTTTTTTTAGAATGCCACTGAAAGCTGTCCAAATGACCCTTAATAACTTATAAAGCACGTGATTAGCCTTGTCAATTTTGTTTTGTCCAAAGAATACCATAACACTCATCGTCATCAGTTAATCGTCATCACTTACGTGAATGAAAGCTTGAGCTTGCGCATCACTCAACCCAGCCTTTATATTAGTTCTTCTACAATAATCCTCTCCATCATCATATCCAAAGCTTAATCCCCTCCAAATCAATGGAGCAGAAGCAGCTGCACATCCTGGTAGCCTGCTACCCTTCCCAAGGCCACATAAACCCTAATCTCCGCCTCGCCAAACTCCTCGCCCGCCAAACAAGGGCGCGCATCACCTTCTCCACCGCCGTCATCGCTCACCGCCGGATGTTCCCCAACCACCAACAACCAACACTCCCCGGCGATCTCTTCTCCTACATCCCCTATTCCAATGGCTTCGACGACGGCTTCGACCCTCGGAAGCACGAGAGCAGAGACTACTTGTTCCGCACCAAACAACACGGCTCCCGAACCCTAGCCGCCATTATCGACGAACCAGCCCTAACCGGACATCCCGTCACCTGCATCATCTACTCCTTCTTCATGTCATGGGTTGCGGACGTTTCCCTGGATCGCAACATCCCCTCCTTCCTCCACTGGATCC